TATCCTCCTAACGTCTATTACGATAACAATGTCATATATTTTGTTCCTAATGTCACCTATTTGGGTATCATTCTAAATGCAAAACTACGCTGGAAATCATACATAACCTCACTCTCAGCAACTATTTCTCGATGGTCCAATTTCCTTAGAGTAGTGTCTAATACCTGGTGGGGCTCTCACTCCTCTTGCCTATTATCAATTTACCGCACTCTCGTTTGATCCAAACTAGACTATGGTTGTTTCTTTTTCGGTTCTGCTTCCTTCTCGAATTGGAAAAAAATCAACAAACTTCAAATTTCCTGTTTGAGGAACATTATGGGATTTGTCAAATCCACTCCTTGTCCTGTCATTGAGGTTGAAGCTAACTGTGCACATTGTAATATTAGATGCCTATGGTTAGCGTGTAAATTCCTACTTAAATCTCTAGCTTATTCTAATCATCTTATTTTCGATATGTTTTATTCTCTTTTTCTTTCTTGGCGTTATGTACCTAAGTCTATGCCTATTCTATCCATCTCAACTAGTGCTTTGTCTAATTTTCACTAATATATTTGTAAATCATCCAAGCTACCTCTTTATGAACAATCATTTGAATATCTTCTATTCTATCCTCTTGTTAGGCTAGATAACCAATTTTTTATCTCTATCTTCTCTGGAACTTAAAAAAATGTCTCTTAATAATTATATTATAAATCTTCAATAAAATCTTTTCCAAATTCTTAATATGAATTTTGATAATTTCATTGTAGTGTATACTAATGGCTCAGTTTCACCTCTTTTTGTCGGTTATTCTTTTTTGATCCCTGAACTACATATTTCTTTCTCTAACAATCTACCTCCTTCTTCTTCATCTTTAACTGCAGAGTACTATGCAATCATTGAAGCTTTATCTCTTATTTCAAACCTTGCCTCTAAACAAATACTTAATTGCTTCCGATTCAATGTCTTGTCTACAGGCACTAATATCTAGCCTTTTTGACTCCCACCTGTCTTTCCTAGTCCTTATCATTAAATCTATCATCCTAAAACTCCATCAAGACAATTATACCATCCAATTTCTTTGGGTTCCAAGTCATATCGGTATACACGGGAACGAATTCGCCGACAATCTGGCGAAATCAACGTCCAATTTAATATGTCCCTCTCTCACCCAACTTCCTCGTACTGATTTTATTCCAATTTTACGGCGTCATATATCTAACCTCTTGCATACATACTGGTCAAACCTCCCAGCTGAGTTTGCCACCAGGTACAAAAACATCGTACCAAATGTTCTCATCAAAACATGGTTTTACAACCTCAATTTACTAAGATCATGTATCATACAATTCAATCGCCTACGTTCTGGTCACACTTTACTACCTGCTCACGCATACAAATTAGGATTAAACGATTCCCCATTTTGTACTCTACATTCCCACGAAAGTGTTTGCGATCTCCCTCACCTCCTTTTTGACTGTCCTTCTCTGCACGTGAAACGCGTTATTTTGTTTAATTCTCTTATATCCATCATTGTTCCTCTCAATCTCCCTTCTATCCTCAACCCCAACTCGGAAATAGTTGTTGATATAATTATTAATTGTATTTTGGAGGCTGGTTTCTCTATATGATTACCCTTAAGACATTTTTTGTTTTTAACTCTTTGCTTGTATTTTAATATTGTTTTGTTATCTGTTATATTGTTCTAAATAATTGTTGAGCTGTAATAGTTATACTAAAAGCTAAATAAAAAAAAAACATTTGTATAACTTCAATTTCATAAAAATAACAATAATCATTATTTTGATCATGAAAGCTTGAAAGATGGTTATATTATAAATATATATTCGAAGTCTTAAAAAAAAAATTTTAATTGCATAATTTTCTAGTTCAATTATTATAAGGAAAAAAATGACCTTCAAAAAAAAAACTAAAACATAAATTTCAGTGTAATAGACTTGTTATATAGCTTATTTTTATCAAGTACAAATATATACATTTTGCAGATAATAACGAACGAAATTAAAGTAGAACAGTTAGATTTTACGACAAAAAAATATCATTATATTTGATACTAAGTTTTAAAATAAAAGTACAATACGTACATAGTTTTAAACTTGAAATTTATATTCTTTATTTTTAATAAATATAGATTTTATAGAATCATTATAAAAAATTATAATAAACAAAATTGCTTGAAAAATAAATTGAAAATCGATTCATTTTAATGGTGAGTTTTAAAATATTTCGAGAAACTCCCAAGTAAATCGAGGAATTATTTTTCTCAGAATATCAGAAGTTTTGTACTAAGTACTACTAATTACTAGATAATATTAAATGATCATAATTAGAGATGGAATAACACATTTCTCAATAAGTGAGTATTACGTTATATTTATATAATTCAGACCAGTTACACGGATAAATAAAGCCTGTTGTATTGTATTTAATCGTACTTTTAAATTGTAATATATGAACATTTTCACACAATTGGAGTGAAATTTTAATTAAGACAAACATATTGTACATCGTAGACAATACATGATGATTATTTATTAAAACAAAAACGTGCAGTTGTTTTAAGATGTGCCAGATAAAGTATTTCATATATTTTGTGTACCTTTCTACGAAGCGTTTAAATTCATCAAGACAACAATGGCGCGCTGCATTAATATGTATAACTCGTATAGCAAACAAACGTGTTTCGAGCACGGTTTAAAACACACTGCGATAGATGTCTGTGATTCTATAAATAGTTTAAAAAGAAATAATAAAACTGCTGACACAAGGGTAATAGTTGAATAAGCTTACGTTTCTCGTTCGATGTCGAAAATGTTTTCACAATAACGTACGCCGTCGAATAAAACTGAAACGGTAAACACGAGATGTCGAAGTCGACGATGACGCGCATCAATTACACCGCGCGGAGGTGCAACACGAAAACGATAAGTGACCATGTTCCGTGTCGGTCACAAATAGTATCGCAAACGGGGTGCAACGCTTGTCGTACGCGCGTTGTAGCTCTTCCGTTATGGCGTCCGAGAATTAGCGGTTTTTAAATCACGAACGGATACGGTTTCGGCCAACGAACCGAGAGCAAATGTCAGGGATCGCGATGACCGTGGTGGTTTCTTGTGGTGGTAGTGGTGGTGGTGCGGTTACGGACGCCGACTCTAGCAACAGTCAAAAATGCCAAATCGTACATGTCCGTAACCACAGTTCTGGTTTTGTTTCCACCAGGGACCGAATAACGTTCTTATTTCTTCGTCGTTTACCGCTTTTGAACGCGCGCACACGCCCACGCGCGTCTCTACGAGCGAATGTATTGCCAACCGATTCGAAGCATTGGGTGCAGCGTGTGCTCGTGACAGTCCGGGTCTGTCGGCAAACTTTTACGACGGGCGGGAACGATGGCGGGAAAAAATGTCCGCGCCACCGTCGCCGAACGCGGAACGCGCGGACCGGTATTCGGCTCGCGTCCGAAGGGAATCCCGCGGGCGCTCGATTTAATCATATTACGGGAATTCGGTCGATAACGTCCGGACGCGTGGACATAATAATAATATAATTGTGTTTTACAAGGCGTTTTGCACGGACTCCTCTCCTCCTGCCACCACCACCTGATGCCCTATCAGGACCAGCGCTACCCTTCCACACCCGCGCGCGCGGAACTTTGATCTGTCGCTTCTACCTGGCATATATTATCAACAGGGTTCGGATTACGATGCGTTTGCATATATTTTCCGGAATGGTTGATACGATATTTTCCAAGATACAAACGTGTTTGAAGTACATATGAACAGTTCGTTATGTTAATATCTAGAATTATTATTTTGCATTTTATTTTTTCGTGTTTATAGGCATAATTCATTGGTCTAGGAAATTTTCAACACATTTCTATCGATATATCGAACAAAATGAAAATTATTAATATATACAGTTGAATTGGATCATATTGGTAAAGTTCATTTTTTTTTTTTTTTATCTATGTTAAATACTCTTATAATAAAAATAAAGTACATTGAACAATTATCAATTAACTTATAAATATATATATATTCAGTGATCAAAGTTTGTATAGTGTTTTATTAGAGTTTTCAATTACAATTATTAGGTACATATGTACACGGAGCAGCGGGTACACTATGCATAAACACTGCACCAGAACGATACAGTATGTTGGAATATTATAGTATCATGTGCATGCAGTGTACGTATCCCGTTAGATTGTTAATAATTTTAGTATATTGTGATATAACAGTTGAATCAGTTTATTATTATTTTGGAAGTGTATTATTCCTTGAATGTATGCAACAAGTATGTATACAGTGCACTGGTATAGCTGAAAATGTATCATAGGTATGATAAAATTGTTGATATCATCAATGTACTTCAAGAATGATATCCGATTCTCCGCTTCAATTGAAAACACGTTTACTATTTAACGAACTTGATAACCTAGTTTATTTAATATGTACTATAAATGTAAGAACCAGTCTATAAATAAAATTTTAATATAATTTTTTCCTTGTAAAAACAAAAAAATATTTTTAGGTTTTTAAAGTTGATTATAGATCTCATATTTTGAAAAAGTAAACCTAAAATGTGTCAAACCCATTTTGAAAGGCTTTAAAAAAAAATATATTGCATTTATACAATTTTAATATTTGTGGCCATCAATGAGACACGATAATACGAGTAGTTTAAAAATTTCACATTATTTGATGACTATACTCGTGATTAAAATGTAATGCTTAATGAAAACGTATGTGATGAAGATCAACCAAACAAAGCAAACAAAATTCGTTACAATCAATCATCATATTATAATTTCATTGTACATCAAACTAGGTAGTACATAAAGAGATGAACGTCTTAACCCTCATGTTAACGAACAAATAGTCTCTTTGCCTTAAGATCAACCACGCTGTCACTACATACACTATATAATAATCCTGTAAAACTACGAGTATATGTCGTCATGCATAAATATTAAATGTATATACTATATGTATACTCACTTCGCGTATAATCATTCGCCGCTACGTAATTCGCGTCATAGTGTATGTCGGTAATGTGCCAAAAGTATCCTGAAACAAGAGAAGATAAATTTTCATACGGTCTCCGCTGCTATTATAGTGCACATAGAGAACTTTGAAATCCCTTGAGATCTTCTGTCGGGATATGCGGCAAAACGTTGGTACCATGTGTGGTAGTTGGGAACTGCAAGAGAGGCAGGGATATTATTTTGGTGGGATCGTGGGTTGAGTATACTGTGGCGATGGTGGTGTGCTGGTAGTTATGGCGCGGACACACGGTGATGAGGAAGAAGTGGTCGGATTCGGGTTGCCACCAACGCCGCTACCAGTCCCTTGGGAGAGCTGGACGAGAGGTTTACAATGTGTCACGGATTAGAGCAAATTAGTATTAATAACTTTACAGGCAATGCATATTGAACGCGCTTGGGGCACATATAATGTATATATATATATATAAACTCGTGGTGGTGAAAAGCGTGTGGCATGAACACAAGGAGAAGGGATAAAGGCTGAGATTGAAATGGATAGAGAGGGGAGGGGAGTGAACGGGTGAAGAGTTTATGAGGGAAGAGAAACGCTGGAGGATGTTTTGGCGTAATATGGCTTTCAGCTCCAAACAATTTATAAATATCAATTATTTCGGTCCCTTTTAGAATACTGATATAAGTATTTCGATCGATGACTGCTGTCGACGCATCGTACGGCGAATCTGCTATGCCGGCCGACGATATTATATTACAAAATTAACAATTTTTTTTTTTTCTATAGCAATTGTATGTGACGGTAATGATCGCGATTCAACTCTTTCGCACGCATAAACCGAACAAACCGTAATTGTTCTTAACGATATGTTCGTGATTTCGATAAGGTATTGAAACAGAATAATCATATTGGTAGATAACAGGTATTTTACCGTAATTCAAGGTAATTATATGCGCAGTATGTAAAGCGATATTCGAAATCATTCGGTTTTTGAAACCAAACGATAGGATTAATATTATACCGTTTGACACTGTACAAAATTGATTTTTTGTCGTATATCATATAAAAAAGTTATTAAAATAAAATAAAAATAATAATAACTTTGACAGTGAATAATAATCGTATTCATACGATCGGAATAAATAAATAAAAAAAAAAAAGTCGAAAAATAGTTTTATTTTTAATATTACAATAAAAAGTAAGTAACATAATTTATATGAACATTCTTAATAGTTATACAGGATATTAACTATTCGAAAATCATCTATGAACAATCAAAGTACCCTTCTGATATAATTGTTTGTATTTACAGTTAAGTGTTTGAAAAATAATTGTATAAATTACTGATCCACATGCGATTTTGTTTTTATTATAATAAATAAATGAATCAAAAAATTCACAGTTGTATAGATATTTTTTGTTAAGCAGAGAAAAAGTTAAGTGAAAAGATTACTTGTTCACTTACGTGGATCATATTTTGAGAGCAGTTCAGAGACTATAACATCTATCCATTTATACGACATATATAATTCAGAGATTGAACATAGTTCTATTTTAGATAGTATATAACATTTTTTTTCCAATTAAAATATGTGGTTTTCGAGAGAAAAAATTGAAAAATATAAGTAGGTTTTCTTATTTAATGCTCTTGATAAAAGTTTTGGGAAAAGTTAGCCTTCATTATACAAACATGATCCTTTTAGACTTAAAAATATTTCTGGGAAAAAATATAATAATATATGCAATACCTGTATTCAATTTCAGTTCAATAATTGTATTATTACAAACAATTCTAAAAGATGTACAATTTTTTAAGACCTTAATGCAAAATCTACATATATTAAATTCCTAACTCAATGACTATATATGAGGATATTATACATGAAAGAACTTTAACATATTACACTTATCTTCAAAGCATATTTTTAAGAAAATGTACAGTTATATAGAAATGAAAATAAGAAAAAATAATAATAATAGCTTCTAAGATCTGCTCAAAGACTTATATTATAGAGAAATTTAATTGAATATACTGGTTATCAAAATTGTGTTTTAAAAACTTAAAAATATCATAGTAGTAAAAACATTTTTGTGCAACTGTAAATTGTAAAAAAAAGAAAAATATGTTCAACATTTAAACTTCGCGTAATATATCCAATATTCCAATATTTCATTATAATGCTAGTAATAAAAAAATATATTAGTTTTATAAATGGTATAAGAATTTAAAAATTTATAATTTTTGTATTCACTTTTATTTGTAGAAAGATTGTAAGAAATCAAATAAAAAAATAAATGACGACGATCATATGATTTTTATTTACATACTATGACTTGTTATAACTATTACATATAATCTAATAATGATACACGGGAAGTTCCATATAGCTAATAATTCATTGGGACGAAATATTATATAGTTAAAATAAGTTTTTTTTTTTTTTCATTAATCGGCATCTTAAACGTCAGAAATACATAAATAATATTACGGATATCTGAGTGTTTTTTATAACTTATTGACATTTTATACATTTTAAACGTAACTCTGTTCAAATATAATCTATCAACGTACATGGGCAATAATCAACACAGATGGATAAAAATTATTTTAAAAGCAAGAACACACGTTACAGGTATTATGTTATAACCACATGACGTCTTGAATGGTTCCCTTGTAATTTATTATTATATATTAGTAATTAACAATAAATCATTGTAAAATGATTTTAAAAATTATAGTCCAGCTTTTCCAAACTTTAATTGGACGTTTTAAAAATAACATTCACTGGTTGTAGAAAAAATTACTTCGACCGTTATTTTAAATAAAAAAAATTCGATTAGAAAGAATTTGACAAAGTCGGCTAATCAGTGTTATGAAAAAAATGTTTGAACTTACATACAGTGTCTGAGATAATGAAATTACAATTTGGTACTGATAATTTGATAAAAAAAAAAAGAAAAAATCTATTCAGGATTTACAAATGAATTATGTTCTTGTTTGTTACGAAATTCGCCCTTTTATTTATCAGTTGAATATTCACTGTCTATTTTATTGTTTATATTTTCAATTTGTTGTCATGTCATCGATGATCGGGTTTTTTCACATGGCAATAGGCATAGCATAAAAAGACACTGATTTCCACGTGTATCACAATGGAAGATCTTTCCAATAAAATGTGGTATGACCAAATCAAAAATTTCAACCGATTTTTGAATAATTATTGATTCAAAAAAATGCTCTCATCGAATACATTTTTCCATATATACACATACAATACACAAATCATAAGCGACTGGATTGTTCTTCAAGATTATAATAGATGTTTTTTTTATTTTAATTGTCATTGGAAGTGAAAAGTGTATTAAATTTTTAAGTGTATTAAATTAAAAAAAAAAAAAAAAGTAATGCTGACATTTTGTAATTTGTATAGGCAGCCATCGCCCACATGAGTCAATTTATTTTTCAATCTTGAACACCATCCTAACATACTTACAATAAGTTAGTTTTATACTACAAAATATATACTATAAATACTATAAATATATGATAAAACATCGTTTGCTAGGTCAACTAGTTTTATTTTAATATACAAATGTGAAAGTAAATATTATACGATATATTTAGAGTAACAATATCGAAATATTGGAAAAATGTTCGTAATATCCATATCAATATGGTTGGATAAGCCTACTAAACTGAAATACAGCTATAGATAATACTATAACGAATTTTGGTCATATTTCACATGACAAGAGCACGTCAATTATAAGTATCTTATAAAATAAAATATTAATTTATAAGATCTGATATTATTGTACTAGAAAACCACTGACTTCGGACGAGATGCAAAACAACGATGATTGCGTATAGTAATTATATGCTTCTTAAGACATGATTTGTTAATAAAAAAAAAAAAAATCGAATTACGCATTTATAATGGAATTCAAATATTTTCATCATTTAATTCATCTCACTGAACCATGTAATTTACTAAACAAACTACATGAGAACGAAAGTTTGTTTTAATTAAAAAAAAAAAATAAATAATTAATACCAAAAAGTTTAAAATTATTTCGAGCACGACATTTTTAAATAATCTAGAAAACCTACGTCGTGTATGCCATTTAAAACTGTGTTTTTTACGAAGTATGCGCAAAGTTATATAGTATATCTTAAGCATCACAATATTATTTTAATGCAATAATTGAAAGCGTTCATGTTATCAGAACACTATACTTCTACTCAAATTATTTCCAGTTAGAATATTTGTCAACATAGATAAGACCAACAATTCATTGATGTCCTGACCAATGGCCGCAATCAATCAAAACACACATAAATCATTTTATATAAACATCCACATTTATGATCGGTCATTCTCATAGGCCTTTGGACCTATACTCGTTCGTGCATATTAATAACAATAAAGAGGCAATTTGTAATATTGTAGTCTTCAATGATGTATTCAACGCAGATTGGTACGGTTCTGGAAACGTATTCATTATTAGGAGTGACTTCAACCATAAAACCTTCATAAGATAATCGTTTTTCTGCGGTAAATATTGAAAACTTTAGCGTAAGAAAAATAAAAATGATAGCCAATTAAAGGAAAGATATGTTGACTAATGTAAACATTATATCGGATTCATAGTTTTATGTTCACTGGCTTATTTCTATACAAATGTATAGTTTATTAACAAAAAAAAAAAGAAAAAAGTTATTTAGAAATAAAACAACACATGGTATTAACACTGCGTGATGACTGTAACAATTTATATTTGAAATTTTACTTTGAATAAAAACATTTTACTATTAATTTTATATTGATTTTTTTTGATTTTTTTTTTTTTTTTCTATAATGAAATATCATGTAGTCGAAATTGATTTATAAATTTAATTAAACATAGCATAAATAATAATATTCATGTTAAATTTAAATAATATTATTTCTCGAAAAGGAATGATTGATTGTATTCAATAATATTTTGATCATACTTTTCGATCATCATTTATACATATCTGGAATTTTTTCCATTAATTCCGAAATAAATAATTATATTAGTGTAGA